ATTTAATCAAGTAAATTTTTATTTTTTATACTTAAATTTCAGTATCAAACAAACTTACTTGCTTGAATTTTTTTGAAACGTTCTTTCATATGTTACGAGAATTCTATCTCATTAATTTTATTGCTCCCTTTTTTACATCTAGATCGCTCTAAACGCTGAAAAGACTCGTATCGCTGAGATACGAGTTTTACGGGAGAATCACGAAGCAGAGCTTTCCGCATTGCGAAAATCGCTACGCAGCGAAACTATAAAAATGGTAAGTGCATAGTTCCGATATCGGAAGTAGCAATAGCATCGTTAAATGGTTCACTGGTTCTATATAATTATATGACCGTGACGTGGCTCGAAGCGAGATTAGCGACTCGCCCTCTGGGAGCGACCGGGCACCTCTCAGGCACGTAGAAATATCCTCCTCCTCGAAGCACGAGCCAGCACGAGACTCCTCGAAGATGCTTATTAAAAAATTGTGCCCCGCGGTAATAGTCTGCACTAACTAGAAAAGAGCCTGTCCAAGATGCAACGAACCAGTTCGGCCGCTGGTGCGGACAAAAGTTTTCCCGACGCGGCGAATGTTTGGCATAACATCGACGAGGAGGAACACCCTTTCGCGCTGTATAATTATCCGAAATGATCGCGATTTTCCCACGCTATTCTTGGGCTCCGGAATTTCTGTGTGATTCAACAGTTTGCAAATTGCAGAACCTTTCGTGCGGATACGATTACGGAAAACTATGCACCGCCTCACGAAATATTGGTTTAAATAACCAATTTAAAAATTTAATCCTTTCAAATTTAATTCTTCAACATTTAATCTCTTCGACACGCTACGCGTGATTATGAATGTTCTATAAATCGCTCGCTATATCTTGTGCGAAGCGCGTTAATTCGTACGAAATTGGAGATTGTCATTAATCATTTGTATTAGATTTATAATTAATGCGAACGATCATATATTAATCGTGCAAATGTGATATCTTTATTTATAATAACTAAAATGCCATAAGTACTTAAATTATGCAGCTATTCGAGGAAAGTTACTATTTTCTCAATTTTCTCAAATTTCCTTTGCTTGCGCAATTTTATTTTTAGTTTCTTTCTGTAAAGTAGTTATATTATCATCGATTATCTCCAACTAGATGCGCAAACAGTCGATCTCAACCATTTATTTCGAGCTATTTCTAATTTTTGTCACTTTCACGCCCAGCTAGCACATCAGACGCTATATTTAATTCAAGTCGTTTATCCACGTTCATCGGTTGTCGATGTGCACAAGCTCGGGAAGTATACGAGCGACTTCCCGCTTCCTAGCATGCTACATTGCGGTCGAAATCGCGCGGTGACGTTCAACGAATTTGCCTACCGCATTGCCGACGTGGACTAATACGATCGCGACCTCATCCTTGGCGGCCGGCCAAAATGCCGCAGATCATGACGAAAGGAGACCAAGTCGGTTTGGTATACGAAGTGATCATAAAAAAATAAATAGAGAAGTCATGTACCTCGTTTACGGATTCTAATGAAAATTAACTCGAACACCGAGGCGAAAACTTGGTGGATCGAGATACGATAGATGTTAAACAGCACGTAAACTGAAATAAAAAGAAAATCTCTTTTTCAAGGATCACAATTAAACATATTTATGCAACAGAATAGAATAAAATCAAACATCATTTCCGTCTGTCTCAGCGTGAAAAATTGAACGATCTCAGTATTCGATTAAAGCTATTGTCTCAATTGAATTCTCTATTGGATTCGCAATCGAAAGTAAAGAACAATGGATAAAATATCTCGGGCGTCAAAGAAATATCGATTTGTCGTTCGCTCGCGGCGATGCATTGTCATCGTTCAGCGCTTAATTAATTTAATTACGATAATGGTCGATTTAACGCTTCCGGTGTCGCAGACGGTGATTCATCATTCTCAGAAATCGCGCGACTCGCGTAACCGGAACAAAACGCACGCGCGTATACGCATGCAAACGCTTAGGACACAACCGTAAACGGCGGGTAATGCGGCGGTTTTTCTCATCCCACTTGTGTATATGGACCAAGGTGAAGGCAAAAAGGCCTGCGGGGCCCGACAAGCCTAACGCGTAGCGCGGTGGGACGAGGTGAGAGCTCGAAAGCGGTACGAAAGGGACCAATCGCTCGCCCCCTCCCCCTCGGTCGATGCCGCGTATCCCATTCTTCCCATCTCTCGCAATCGCCGGCAATGTTAACTTTTCTCATTGCAAACTTTCGCCACACGTGGCGAGAGATCCGCCGCATTCAAACAAGTTTTGCGAATTTTTGCAGATGGATGAACTGCGAGGCAAGAGCCGGGAGATCGAGAAGCTGTCGAAACTCTTGAAACGTCGGAAATTGGCGCCGCCGGTGGAGCGCGATACGGTGAGTATTTCTATTTTGCCGGCGTTTCCGTTTCCGCGAACGATATCGCGTAAAAGTGACATGGTCACAAAGTACGATTTCTAATTTTGCACAAAGTGTGCTCGATAAAAGCCATCTTACGAGCGAAGCGCGTGCGATACTATTTGCTGAAAGTTAAAACCACCTTTTTTGCTGAAATTTTTGAACATCTAACATTGTATTGGCAATTGCGCCTCGAATTAGGATTCTATTTAATGTTTACTTGAAATGAATCGAATGACAAAAGTAAAATTTGCCACAGCATTTTTATTTTTCATTAATTAAATTATAAATATGCTTGTTAAGAAAAGTTTTAGTTTGCGATAAAGTCAAGTCAGCTGTGTTTTGGTACAATTATGATATTTTCTTAATCTCAGTATCACCGCTCCGAATATTATTATTCGTTCAACTATTTGACGTATCAATAGCTATTTTAAGCGATCGTCTATCAGAAACGTCGAACGAAGCGAATAATATCAATAGCCACTTTTGCTGCGTTTCATCGAGTGTCTCGCTCCGGAATTCTCCGTTGTTTTTTTTTTTCGCTCTCAGACGGCAGCGAGCCGTCGTGCGAACAATCCAACGGTTCACCCTGAGGACCGTACTGGTGCACGCGATTATCATATCGTACGACTTCCGGTGTAAGTTTACACAGCATCAGGTTCCTAGAAGCCTTTAGCGCACTTGGCACGTTTAATGTTGACATCGGTTACTTGCACTTATCCTCGCATCAGCATTTATTTTCTTTTTACATTCTAGGAATGATTGTTTTCTAAAAGACACTTTCTCTTAAAAAAAATCTGATTTTTTTTAATCGATTCTTTTCTGTATATTACACTCAAGCGATCCTTTTGATCAATTTTGAAATCGCGTCGTTGTATTTCAAGTCAAGTTACAGAGCTAACAGAAGCATCCCAATTGCGTCATTGTTAGAAGTGAAACTATGTGGCACATAAACTCGCCAGCATATAAAAGGTTAATGAACCCATCGTGCGGAGTAATTCAGAAGAGTGCGTTAAACCGACCGCTTAAGGTGTGTCGAATGCTTGGGCGTGCTCCAAGAAATGCGCTGACAACGCGATTGCTACTTTTTGGACAGCAGTCTTTACTTTCATCGAAGTGTGTAACGATTCAAGGAAGCCATTACGAATCGCCGAAGCCGATGGACACTCTCGATGAGTCCCGGTATCTTGACGGTTCGCTTTTAAGTCCGAGGTGTGCCCACGGATGTCGCGATATCACCGGGTTAATGTACCGGGTCAACGTCGCGAGAGAGACATCCCGCTCGCGGGCGAGCATTGTGCATTATATACGCGTCTTCGTCATCTTGAAGGAACTTAAAGGCCATGCGAGCAAGCGAGCGGTCGGTCGCGCGGCTAAAAGGTTGTGTAGTTACGCGCCGCACAATATAATTGCCACCCTTTCCCGCCTTATCGCGACTTAATCGAGCTAACGGTAGCGCGGAATCTACGGTAAAAGAGTTAAAGCGCCTTTTTCTCCGACAACGGTTTCATAAATCTCGATCTAAAGAAAAGATATGAAAAACAATCCATTGTTTGCAAAGTGATCGATTCTTTTCAATGGCAAACTCAATTGAGCATTGAATGCAGCATGCAGCTGCTTTAAATTTGACCGCTGAATTTTTTAAATCTTTTTTTTTTTCACCATTAACAGCAATAATAAAAATCGAACTTTTGATAACTAAAATCTAACTACGCAATTTAACTCTTGGACATACAAGAGGAATCTTTAATATTCGCGCGTTCAGTATTTACTTTTTTTATGACATTCCCTATATATTTATCTTCGATGAAATGTTTTCGTCCTTTCTTATGACATTTCGAAAAACTTTAAAGCTGTTCGACAGTGCTCGCGATTTAATTAAATTTATCGAAATATTATTTATTTACTTATTTCTGGCAGGCCTCTATTAATAAGCCGTAATAATGCCTCCAAGAATTAACAAAATTTCAAATTCGCACATTTGCTATTTCGACATGGCGATAGGAGATCGCAAAAAGGATACGAGCGTATTTTCTCATATCCCCCTCCTCCTGTCCCTGATAACAGTTATGATTCTTACATTTCATTGTCTCGGGTCGAAGTTCCTACCAGGTCAGCAAGCTGTAGATATAACTTTTCGAATGTAATGGGGAAGGAGCGCTCGCGACTCGCCGCACGTAGAAGGCTCCGAACGTCGAAGGTGCGCGCTTCAGTCTGGTCTAGACATCCACCGCGAGCACACCGTTTCCTGACGCCGCTCTACGTGCTTACCCGTGCGTGCTCGAGTGTGACATACGACCGAAAAGTTTCGCAAAGATCGCCACAGGGTATACACCGCCGGTGTACACCGACATCTCGCCTTCCCCGTGCGCGTTATATGAATCCTCAAGATCAACCCGGGGTCTCATGGGGTTTGCGTGGAACGAGGTAAGCATTAGCAAACGTGATCGTTTATTTATACGCGACTATCCGTATGCGATGTTGAAGTCACCGCCTTTGAAATAGTGCCATCGTTTACAAATTTATAATTTTATAGGTGTTTTTTTATAGATCTTAGATTTCAAATATTATTTAATTTAAAAAATAATGTAGAAATTAAGGGTGTTGTAAATTTTCTAGGCTCTATTTTTATATATGAAAGATTTAGATGCAACATTCACAGTTTTCATTGATTTATAATTTTATAATACGAGCATAAAACTGCATGAAACATTTTATCAGTAATAAATATTAAGTAATTTAATTTTTATCTTTATGAAATCTTGTTTCTCTTAACATGAGATGAACATAGTATCCCAAAATTTGCGAATGTTTCTTCAATGATAAGTTTTCTGAGACCAGTTTGAACTAATTTTTTATCAGCGAAAATGTAGTTATAAGTGATTGAAAAAGGAGGATATTTTGCAAACATATTAAAATAACATTTTTTATTTTTTAGTCAATTTTAAGTAGACTTTATTTTAATAAAATTTTAATTTAAGACTTTGTTAAAGAGATGTGTATATGATATTGAAAATAAGAAATGCGATAAATGATTTTCCTTGACATCTTTTGCTGAAGAAAAAATTAACCTCGAGAAACTTATAGAGAAACTATCATTGAAACAGCTAGGAATTTTGAGATAATCTGTAGAATAAAATTTTATTTTTATTTATTTATTTATTTATAGTAACTTATAGAAAACCATTAATTTACATGATGCGATAAAATTATGCCTTCAAGCTAAGCGCGAAGAAAAATAATAATACTCTGAAAGCGGAATAGCATTTGATTGTGCATACAATAGTACCGTTTTTTATTCAGTTTCCTCGTCGCGAAGAAGTTAATTGCCGTATAAAATATCTGTACTAATGTTCAAGTAATGAATAAAACAAATTTAAATTTTCAAATTTTTGAATAATAGTAATTCATCAAAAATTATAAAATTTTCAGAATTTAATGCAAAATCAAAAGGAAAGCTGTGAAATGGAATCTATAATAAGCATTGTTATTTATCAAAGAAACGCGCGCTTTTCTACTCGTGTTAAAAGAAAGTTTCATACAATGAACAATTCCGAGTTTAAAATTGTTATAAATAATTGGTACCATTCGGAATCGTGACGAATGCTCGCATTGTTATTTCACGAGAGCAGTTAGTCGCGACAACCCCCGCCCACTCGTTTGCTCGCACACACACACGGCCGTCGAGATCGAATATTTTCACGCACCTACTCCAGTTTCACCGGCGCCTTCTCTCGTCCCTGAGTAGAGCGCGAATAGAGCGTGGAGTCGATCGTGTTCCCAGGGAAATCGACACACAAGTTGCGTGTCGCCGACGCACCGTGGGAACGATTCCCGCAAGACTGCTCGTGCCAGGTCGCGAAGAAAAATCGCAGAAAGCAATGTTGCGAATGAATACAACAATGGCTCCCGTAATTGAATTATTTCGCGAAATCGTTTCGCGCTTAACGCTTGAAGATTGCAAGATTGGGTCTATTTAACCATACAAGCGTATCAGCACGTTTCTAGTCATTTCTGACGATTCCGTAAGAAGTAATTAGCTGAAACAAGGAAGGACTAGTTTTCAACTAATTGGTTGGCCATTACCAAGTCATTATGAGAACAACACGAATTTGCCGGGGTACGGTGTTACTCGTTGTAAGAATTTCAAGTAAATAGAAAGAGAGTATTTTTAGCACGTTGATCAACAAGATTAGGGCAACGCATGTGTAGAAAGAGAAATATATTAATATGTAAACCGTAAAAATCCTGTACGGTGCATAGACATGCTCTCCCTGCGATTTTCACAGTCAATTATTAATTCTTTCAAAGAACCATGATAACGGCTTTCATTGTACATTCACTACGTAGAGCCATTATGGTGATTCGTTGAAAATTTTCACTGTTTAAATAAAAACATTGGTGAGTCATTGTTAAATCATCAAACAATGCTCAAAGTAGTGTAATTGATAATTTGTGATAATTTATGATGTTTTACAACATGTGCATACATATTAGTGCACACAAGGCAATACACGATTGTGCACTTCGACTCAAAATATAAAAAAAAAACAGACTACCGTTTCCTAGAATAAAGTAGCATTTCGTTATACAATGATAACTCTTTTTATTTGGCTCCATCGTCGCGGAAAGATTAAGATCGCATAATCGGAATGCGTAACGTCCGCGGACCGTTTCGCGAGAACGGAACAACGGAGATCGGATATACGGGTCGATAGGGGAGAAAAACGATAAGCAGCTGATAATCAAAACCGTGGGTTCGAGCGCATGCAAATTCGCAATAGATCCGCTGAAACGTGTTTCCGCGCACGCACATTCGTATCCAAGGCGAATGCCTGCGTGTCCCGACGCGTGCGATTGCAGGCACGAGAACGGACACGTAAGTACGCCTTAAGCACTTAACTATCCTCCATTGTCCTCCTTCGAGGCGGCCACGCGGGATGAATTTCAATGACTTCGCGACGCGTAAAAGCAGGCGAGAGAGAAAGGCGACTGGGCCGGCCGGTGTTCGGCGGTGGTCCGTCTGCGGGCCTCGAAACGGAATCGTTATTTCACCGGATGCGCTTCCTCGATCCGTCTCGATTGCAAGTGGAACGACCGCGTTCTCCCTTCGATGCCACCTTGCACCTTCGAGAATCGGCGACGCTCGGGGGAGACGCTGCGCGCCCGTGCGCCTTCTCGATGTCTGGCCGTGCCACCGCGCTCTCGGTGAGCTACTTCTCGAAAGAAAGTTCCCCGATTCCCGCAGCGACCGCAGAGGTACGAGCATGCACGCGGGTCGTGATACATCGGTGCATGAGAGAGCGCGTATTAGCGAGCGCGCGAGCGCAGCCACGTTACCGGACCGGATCACCTCGAGAATCGCCGCGGTTTTCTCTATGTGCCTACTTAACAACACCCTCGCAACAACCTCGTCTCCTTTATCCTTGATTTTATAAAGAAATCCACGCGGGCGGGATCGGTGATTCTTCGGAATACCGCAGAGATTCCGCCAATCTTCTCCTTATCTTCTTCTGCTTTTTTTCGCAATAAACCGACCCAGTCACATTCGCGCAACTGGTTACACTTCACTCACCTGACCTCAGTGCTCTTCATGACGCTCATGCGCGTTTCAACATGCCCACATGCTGTTATTGCATACACAATAATGATTCTCGGCTCTCGCATGCATGGCCTCCAAATGAAGATTCGCAGAAACTTCGAGCGGCTGAAAAAAACAATAAATTGAAATTAAGCATTGTTAAATAATAATTGAAGAAATAAATTTGATCAAAAATATTAAGCATGTCAGGAAAACGTTGAGAGGATTTTCAACATTTCTTTTACGCATTCAAGAGTTATTGCAATCTTTACGATCCCGCCGCATCTTCGGCAGATAAATCAGAGCTGCGGATGCTTTTCCATATTTCTTGTTAGAGGATTATTAATAGCAATCGTTATTGAGAAACTCCGGTAAGGGATGATCGCGCGCGAGTCCAAGTTCGTGGTCAAGCCGCACGGTGCACCTTGGGCATCGCATCTGTATGCAACGACGTGGGAGAGAATACGCTTACGCAGCCTCACGTCTATGCGGTGCTATGTAATTTCAATCCAATCATCGCGGTCGCGGTTATTAATAATACCTGAGCAACGGCGGGCGTGTACCATCTTGCAATTAATAGCTTCCTTCCCCCGCGTAAGAGGCACGCATAACGAGCACGCATAGGAAAGCGCATTACGTATTACGTGTTCGCCACCCGCGACACGTCCTTCGGCAATGCGAACATTTCGATTTTACAAGCGGGTCAGAGCGAGCGCGAGTAGAGCTGACAATGAGAGCGAAAGTCGCACTTCGAGCGCGACAGACAGGGCTTGGCAGGAATCGAACGTAATATTAAACCGTAAGCGAATACCGTGTCGCCGTGCTCTCACATTGAAGAATTCAACGCGCGTAATGTGACACTGCGATTAATTGCAATTTCTTCAGATTTTTAGTTTCAGTTAAAGAAAGCATAATAAATTTTTTTTTAACACACTTTACGCGATCTACAACTTTGCTTCCAAATTTGCGACAAAAGTTGCAACTTTATGCATCGCAAATGTAGAAAAAAATTTTTAAAGCCAGATTTATATTTATGATATGAAGATATGTTTCATTATTCTATGGGAAAAGAGATGCATGCAGAAAACAAATATATATTGTTAATTTAAATTTGTAATTGACTTGAAAGTCGATGTACTCGTATAAGAACTCATTGCGCTTCGCTGATCTTTGACAGACGACAGTGCGTTAGAAATACGCGAGTTATTTGAGAAACCCGCAGACGCGTTACGAGATCGTATGCGGTGGCAGGAGACGATCGGTGAAAGTGAGAATGTGGACCGTACGGGATGGATCGAATGAATAGGATGAAGACACCGCACGTGACGGTCCCACTGAAGCGTAGATTCGGCTTGTAGATCGATTGGATTTTACAAGTAGATATGCCCGTCTCGTGTCAGACACGTGGATTTCTCTTATGGAGACGTCACACTTTAATTGAGGCGTAGAAGTTAAAATTTATGATAGAAGTTTTACATGTGTGTTGATGTTAGCGATATGAGTTAGTAATAAAATAAGTAGTACGTAAACAAAAGTCATTTTTCAGAGGCGTAACGCTCTTTTTACACGGTTAACGACTTGAATACTTTTTTTCTTTTTCAATCACAGAAAAAAATACACTCTTCTATTCAATACACAGTTCAATTAACAAGTAGATAAGAATGTTTGATTTATTAATCACTCAGTGATTAAAAGAAATCTTTTAGAAATATATTTTTATTCAGGAAAAATTTAACAGTATTCAAATCAATATATGATTATTCGCAGAAAATGCATTTACCATCATTATATTGTTATCAATTATTGCTTCAATATGTAAAAACTGCGAAGTGCGGATGAAATTTTCTCGCGGTCGCTGGCGAAGCGTCCGCAATTTCGGAAAATAGCGTAGCTTACATCCGCGCTCGTTTGAAGCCGCTAATTATTTTTAGCGCGCGTCCCGATAACTGTACACCAGATGTCGAATTAATATAAGAAAACGTCGGGACACAAAACGCGAGACGAGCGGTGAAGCACCGGATAACGGTAACGCGTGACGCGCTCGTTTCACCTGTCCCAATATGTCTTACATCCGATATAGCCGATCCGACCCCGAAGAGAGGAGAAACGCCGGTGTAACGAGCGCGCGTGTCCAACGATTTACATATATGGCGCAAAGTGCATCACCGTGCGCGCAGGCACCGGCGGGCGAGTTGGTGCAAGGTGCAATCTCGATTCTCCCGGCGCACATCTCCTCGCATGTACGCCGCAACACACGCCGGCAGGTTGATACCGCGAGGAGGAAGGAAGCCGAGAGGGCGAGAGAAGGAAGAGGCTGCGGCTGTATGTCAGGGGGCCAAGCTAACGGTCCACCCAGACTCTCGGGACTCTCCGTAACCCAATCGTTGCAGCCGCGACTCGTCTGCTTCTCTCTCCTCTCTCTTCCTCTTCCCCTCGATCTCTTTTCCCTCCCCCCCCCCTCTCTCTCTCTGTCTCTCTCTTTCCTCTCGCGGCTTTCCGGCTCGATGCATACATCGCATCGGACCGTGACGTTTATCCGGAAGACCGAAACAATTGCGATAGACTTTTGCTACTTTCTTCCGAAGAACAAGCAGCTATGACCGTGCAGGTTTCGAGAAAATCAACAATTTTTGTTTTTTTTTCTATTTTTCTCTGTGAAGTTGCAGTAACTATTTATCTTATAATTATGAAAATAATATATCTTTGTCTACAAAATAGCAATTGGAAAATAAATGTAATTTAAAACGCTGAGAAAAGTAGCGGCAGTGTTTTTCACCGGTGCGCCATCAAGATTATCACTTCTCGAAGTATCGGCTTTCCTTCCTGGGACACGTCGTGAAAGTTACCTAATTATGCAATTGTACTTTTTACTTTCCCCTCACTTCAACTTTGATATTTAACTTTGATTTTTTTTTTGTTCACAAAAACCAAGTTTCTGCAGACGCTGCTTTTACGCAGAGCGTCCCAGAAACGCGAAGTATCCTTTCTGCCGGGACAACCGTTATCGTGGAAGTATCCAGTTGTGGATTAATTATTTCCGATGATGTTGCAGATGCGGAAGTTACGGGAGAACGAGAGGAATCGACCGATACGGCCAGCATCACGCATAGAGAAGAAGATTTTCACGGACGACGGTCATACGGTACGTAATTGCCGCTATCTTCAAACGCGAGCGATTTTCTTTACAAGTACCCTCTACGCCGACACGACGCGTACGTGAAATCACTCCTTTTATAGCAACAATTATTGCTAACATAAGATTACAAACGTTTCGAGCGTTCTCTCCTTCAAATAATGACTATTTACATACCTATCATCGCGATAAAGACATATAACCACACATATAACCATAAAGACATATAAGCCATTAAGGTGGAGTATCGTTTAAGGTGGGGTCATATGTCCACGCCGTAGAATCCGACGGAGCCATAAATGAAATCGAGGTCGAGCGCCTCCGTGAACTCGCGCTCGAGCAGCAGGAAGTCATCGAGATACTTAGACAGGCAGTTAAGGTAATGGAATTTTTTTTTAAGGGAGTGGATATGAGTTGATAATTTAAAAGTATAGATTTCGATTTCTCTCGCAAATTTCTGAGTGTTGCATTGGATGCCAAACAGCAGTATGTTATTTTGGAAGGAAATTAATTCAATTAGAATATTTTTAATGCATTTTCAGAGAAAGAGATATGTAATACTTTATTTTTCCTTACTTGCAAAATTTAGAAAGCATCAGAATTTAATACGAACATAAATATTTCAATCTGGAAAAATAATAAATCAGTAAGGATTATTCAGCGAATACCGTGACTCGTATTTTTGCTGGGAAAGCAAAAATAAGTCAGCTCACGTTCACTCCGTTAAATAATGGCATCCTGCCCGAAATAAAGTAAAGGTAAAGTTTGAGAAACAAATACGGATGTTTTTCTCTTGCTACGTAAGGAGAGAGAAAGGAAACTGGAACAGCTATCGAACAAAAAGAAGAAGGAGGAATTTTATAAACAATGGCTCGAATTGGAACCGGTAGCCGAAGTAGAGGACGAAGAGGACCACGAAGACAATGACAGCGCCCTATCGAGCGCCCCGTCCTCGATGTCGCCGCAACCCGGAGGCTACGGTCAATGGCAGGGTAATGGTGTCACTAGAGAAGCGTACGAGGCCGTTCTCGTCGAGATCGAGGAGTTGCAATCGAAGCTCCTTCGGGAGCAGCGAGAACTGTCGCGTGCCAAAACTCATATTTGCGAGTTGGAGAAGGCACTCTTGCAAGAGGTAAAAATTGTTTCTTTACATTTTTTGCTTTTCAAATCATAAAATAAGGTGGATGTTAATTAATTTTTAATTCTTGACACTATATATTTAAGAATTTCGATAAAGAAGACTTGTGCATTCCACAGAGATGCGGCGATCGCGACAAAGAGTTGAACAAGTTGAATGACAAGCTTCGAGCCACCGAAGAGCGAGAAGCCAGGCTCTTAGTGGAGCTTTCGGAGATACGAGAACAGAATGAGCTTCTGGAGTTCCGGCTACTCGAATTGGAGGAAACATCCGCGCGCAGAGACAGTCCCGATCACACAGTGGACAGCGGCATCGTCTCGCCGGAACCCACTCACGCAAACAAGGTGAGCTTCAACAAACTTTACGAATTCTCTCAGCTCGTCGATTAATATAATTGACCGTATATCAGATACTTATTGCTCGTGTTATAAATAAATAAATAAATCGTTGGTCAGTAATTTTGCATGTATAATATCTTTCTACTGTTTGCAATGCAACGATATTTCAGGATCACTCAACGAACAAACAGAGGAGTCGCGCAGTGGCTACCGTTATACCATACACGAATAACGCTACAATGAAATCTACGTCGCCCGTGTTGCCACGTAAACCACCACTGACTCTTCAGGAAAGCGGTATCTTCGAGGAGGATGAAGAGCAGGAGGACGAGGAGGAAGAGTCCGTTGAGCTGACTAGTCGCGGCACGCAGACGGAAGTGCCATCCGGCGAGCTTCTGCAGGAAGTGCAGCGTCTCCAGGAGCTACGGGCGCGGATCCAGGAGCGCGCGGCTAAGATCGCGACCCCGGTCTTCCATCCGATCGATTCGTCTAAGATCTGCCTCGACGTGTCGACGGTGGACTCGATAGTCCAACTGACATCCTACCAGGAACGCGTGCGCGACCTCGAGGAGCGACTCGAAACGCACGAGGAGGCCGAAAAGAACCTAGTGCGGGAGAAGCAATTGTCGAAACAACGGGAAGAGGAACTGCTCGACGAGAACTACAAACTTACGGAGAGGATATACTGGTTGGAGAACGAGATGCGAAACATCGCGGAATCCAACGAGGATAACGATGAGAGCAAAGGCGAAATAACTGTCGCGCAGCGGATCGAAAATATCGAGCAGAATAAACGTGAGCTTTCGGAAAATTTGGAAGCTGCGCAGAATACGCGTACGAATGACGCGGAATATCATCAATGCCAGAATCAGGCTAATGCGGAAAATTTCGATCAGCAAAGCGCCTCGGAAGTACAATGTAACGTCACGGTATGTAATTAATTTACAATCGTATTTTTTTAGTCCTTCGAAATTGTTTTATAATAATTTTTTATTTAAAAATTGCTATTCCAAGCGAATATCTTCTAATAAAAAAATTGTTATTTAAAGATAAAGCATTTTAAAAAATCGGTTTTAAAACTCGTTCGTTGGAATAATAATTTGTGATTTTTTAATTGGGGAAAAACGATCTTGCAATCAGGAACTGTATTATAATGATCTCTATCAATTCTTTTCGAATCCATTTTTCGAGTTAACTAAATTCTATTGACCGACGACAGAGATAATACTTTTTGTTGAAAACAGTTAGTAAACGGTCATTATACATTCTGCAGCTTGTATCCCTAGAGAAGAGGAAGAAGGAAGACGAGATGGAGCTCCGTGAACCCCAAGAGCCGGTCGTTATCGATTTTACCGAAAGCGACTCGGGAAAGAAGGTTAGACGAAGGCGAATTAACAGTAACGAGCGCGTGATGCGGTATACGCGAAACACGGATTTGAGAGCATCGAACGTCGGGTACATGCGCGACGTCTCCTTCCGGCGACGGAATTATTCGTTGGTCCTGTATCAGGAGATTTGCGTTTAGCCTCTTTATATCGTCGTGTTTCTTAACAACGAACTCTAGGAAGATGGGCGTGAGATCATCGATAGCATTGTCTTAGTAAGTTGTCCGTTGTAATACCGTTTCTTTCATATCGAAGAGAGTTGTGCTCGCGTCGCAAGTCCCTTGATGTGTCCCGCCCCGAGTTGATGTGTTAATTTTGAGAAGAAGCTGGGAACTTCCCCGCGATAAGAGGACCGCGCGTGTGTTCTCTCCGGAGCGACGGCTTCCAGAAAATAACGGCGAACGGAAGAAGACCGAGGTCGTGGAGAAAGAGTGCGGATGGTGAGGAGGTGAGGAGGAGAGAAGAAGGAAAGCTAACCGACCGCATATCTACATTGTGTCTTTGAGCATACATATGCGAGACAAACGGCCGACGAGTTCGGTTCTATTCGGCTCGAGGCGAAAGAGAGAGAGAGAGAGAGAGAGAGAGAGAAAGAGAGAGAATATCGAGGAATAATACTTGCTCTACCTATCAAGCGCCTAACGATGTGCGAAAATCCTGGATCGCCAGCTGATTTTAAAACTGACCCCAGGTCAGTTCTATAGCTAGATCCGTAGCCGTTTAGTAGCGCTTTTATTCTGTTGGTTTTTTAAACAATTTTGCGTGTGGGAGAAACGAATTCGAGAAACTTTTACAATTATTATTGCATAACGCGCGATTTGTTGTTCGATGAAGCTTTTTGTCTATCTCGCATCCTGCGAGACAATGATATTCTCAAGATTAATAATTATGCGCGTTTGTAAGATCATCCGGTATATTCTACACGATTTCTCGATTAGGGAACATATCCGTCGGGATATTCAATATACTTCGAGTAGTGACGCTTTGTCAGCACGTTTTCGCCTACGCGGCATAGTCACCGCATTATACATTGCGCGCTTAATGTCAGGTGGTGATGGTAATGACGCTTCTCTTCTTCTATTTTCTTCATCTGTCTCATGGCAAAATTAATCGCCATGGCACGGATATTATATTTTCGCCAAAGTAATTGTTGGTACATTAATTTCATTTCGAATCAAAATCGCATCGCTTTGCTTCGTGACTAGCGTAACACTTCACAGTTTCACGATATCATTTAACTCTTTCGTTACGTACGGACCGTAATACATCACTGCTACATGACAGATTGAAATAAATCAGTTCTCAAAGCGATATATAGTCGCCCTTGATGTGTAACGAGTGTCAAGCACGTGAACGATTATCGTCGTCTTTCTGTAGCGAGAGAGTTATGATGAATTCGAACGTGACGCGAGCGTCCGTGCGATATGCGCGTTTTACCATGTGTATCACTCTGCGACAGGTGATCTACTTTCGTTGGAGATAAAGGCGAGAAGGTTCTCCGTCATCTCTCGTCGTCGCAGACTCCGTCTATCCGTCCACCCACGAGTTCCACGGAAGAGTCAACGAACCCGTGGGTGAAGCCGCGGCACGAACGAGGTAAGTTAACGTTTCCGAATGATCATTAATATTAACAAGCGCGGCAATAAATTTCAAAATTTACAATTTGCAAACTCATCGATTCGATATTTGCTATTCGAGCGAGACAGAGATAACCGCGCTGCGAGATACGATGATTTCGAGCTCGAATTTCGCAACTCACGATCTTTATTCAATTCCCGTCGCTTTTTAAAATTACAAATGGCTCCGTGTACACCCTATGTTGATGATTCATTCTTTCAGGACAATACGGCTGGCGCTGCTTGGTGTGCCCAAGTGACGATCAGAAATAGTACGTCCCCAAAAGACATGGGCACCCGCGGATCGAACCCCGAACTAGCGACTCCCGGTTTGGCGTATTTCACCTCTCCGCGTCACGGCCAATCTTTTCGTAAAAGCTGTGAAATCAAGTGCCAAATAAGCCGTAGATTAAAAACATCTCTTCCACGCGAGCGTAAGTTAAATCGTTATTCCGAAATATATAATTGTGTGTTTATATTAGAGAGATATCTACGCCCAGAGAAATCGGATTGCGCTAAACGGATGTGCCCTTGCCGAACGGATGTGCCCGAAATGCATCCCACTGAATTCCTGACGAATCTTTGCCATGTTGAAACTTAAATGCGCGTCCCGACGCAGATTTAAATTTGAAATGACGATGAAGGGGATTTTGCGCGAGCGAATTTCGGATGACACGTAACTCAGGTGTATCTCAAATTAGCGCGCGGCCCGCAACGTTACGATGCATACGTGAACGATCGACAAAGGCGTGTCTGTGCGGCGTCACTCGCACGGAACAAAGATTCTACTGTATCCGTATTAGCGATAGCGATTATCGGAGCTTCTGCTATATCTCTATCACACTATACACCGCGTGCAGAATCGTTTGAGTAATCGTAGGAAAGTATATATACATATCACGGGGAATGCATAAAGAAATATCCCTCAACGAATCAATTCGCTCGCCTGAATATCTTCCTCCAGTTGTTTTCTTACACGCAAATTTCACGCGATCAAGTGTACAGTAAAAATTACATATCGAATTGAATCGAGAAACAACCGCGATGCAAACTGCAGAATAGTCTTTCACGAATCTTAACTTTTTTCACGAATATTAACGAAACTAAACTCCAGGCTTGAGCCTTTATACCCGAAAATATACGTGTACGCGCGTGCTTCCGCATTTAATCTTTATTGATTATATACAAGAGAAAGAGAAAGAGAGTTGGTACAATATGTATTAGAATATAAGCGACGTGCCTCTAGTCCTAGCCTCGTCGAGCACAATGAGTGCGCTTTAGTATGTATTGATCTTGAGTGACGGTAGATTTAGTGTCTTTAGTTTCGCAAGAAGTGTGTATATTGAAAAGCGCTTACCCGTATTTATACTATGTAAATTTTCGAAACGGAACCGACTCGGTCGTGCTCGATCGACCGCGACGGCGGATTCGTCTCACTCCGAGTCGTTTCGTATATACAGAGTTGATTTTATTCGTCATGTGTATCTGCAAGAAACGTAATCTCGAATAAAATTGTCTACCTTAGATTTTCCGTCTCTCATCATTCCATCGTTAATCATCGCGGCAGATAATTGGATTCAAAAATTAAGCGAGACAAAAGCAAAAATTACGACTTCTAACTTCTTATATCTAATCTGACGTTTATATGCATGCAAAGTGCAATTGCATTTTTTAAATTGTGGCTTTCTGTATTTTTTATTTTACATAAGAAAATCTTAGGAAATATTAATTTAATTCAATCATATTTCAGACAAATTGATATTTACTGCTACTTATCGTCTATCGTCCGTAATGTGCTCTACTTAGCTACGTTTTTCCGAACGGTTTTGGATTGAGATGAATTCTCAGGGCTCTTCTGATGTTCATCGAGGATCCCTCGCTTGGTATAAGCAGAGGACGCGGCGGCGCTCACTAATAAAGACGGCAACGTGCATTCCATGTAACGAACCCTCTCAACGAGCGCGCTACGCCTCCTCTCCAAGGATGCGTTTCTCTTCTCGTAATTCTTCAGCATTTGCTTCCAATAACTCTCTTTATCGGTAGCGGCTTTATTCGCGGATCTATCTATATTCGTGCTCGTTGTAGCTACTGGTGTCTTCGCGAGATCAGCCATTGTTCACAGAAATTTGGACAAATTGAGATAATTCAGGTTACCGGACGAATAAATTCAATCGTGAAGCTTGCTAACAACGAGAATAAATCGCATCGATTTTCGAGGAATTAATAGTATGTTCTTTTTTAATGCCCGAAGCTAGCCGAAGTACGGAGCTCACACATGTACGCGGTTCTCGTTTGTGTGCGTCTACGGTTGCTCGTTGTTTGGGTTTTCAATCTGGCAGCTCTAATCGGAAGCGACATGGTGATATGAAATGGTGTGAAAATGGCTCGACGTTATCGGATACTGCCGATTAGAATCCCTTCGGGAACAAACCACCGTCTCTATCGCCTCAGGCTAACCCAAATTTACGCCGAATTCACTTCAGATTAGAGACGATGGGGACAACATGCGATGCGAAGGATATTGCAAAGCATCGTCCGTTTGCCATCGCGATTCCATCGACAGACTTTACGCATTCGCGATCCGGAACGAATCCTTACCCCGCATATCGCTTTTACAGGGAAACAAAAAAGTCTCACGGTTTTCCCGTGCTCAACAGCAATCACGATCAACAAGTAAGTAACATTTTCTCTTGTATATTTATGTATTGAGAATGCAATATTTTATTTAAAAAAAAAACAATCCCCAATTTCATTATTAAACAATTATTATATCGTCCAATTAATGCGATAATTGTAATTAATACACTTGAGTCTATATCAGAGGAAAATAATCAACCTGTAACAGATCGCGGCACTCCACGATTTGTTGCGAGTGATTAAGGAAGCCGCGGTAAAACTGAGACAGTTGATCGATATAAATGAACGGCGGAAGGATGGTCCGGATTTCCGATACGATCGAGTAATGAGAATTTTATTCCAAAGTATAATTGTGTGCGCCGGAGAGAGATAAAAATTGAGAATAAAGTAGCAAATAATATGTTGTTAGCAAGATAATCCTGGATCAGAGCTCGCGACTACATCCTCCTCGGTTTGCGTACTATGCGGCATTACGCTTTACCCGAAGGATTCCTTGGAGGAATCATGGCGATTCACACACGATAGAGAAAAAACAAATGCTTACACTCGCGATTCTGACATCACGTCGAGAGACCTTGACAGCGTCTTTTCTAAAACGAACTTGTACAAAGCCGCCTCACCCATTAAAATAGATAAAAGTAAGAATAATTCTTTTCTCATTCGTGGAAGGGTTTTTGACTGTCCTCGTTAAAAAAATTACTACAACATTGATGTGTGTACGAAGGACAGGAAGAAATTATTCCGAAAAGCCGACAATCGGCTGACTCAAGCAGCGACGACTTAAGATCGAAATTATTATTCATACGACGAATTTCTTCCGACAAGACCGCCTGTCAAATATGTGAATCTCAAAGGCGTGATAATCAAAATCCAAAATATGCTGGTAAGTTAAAAAAAAAACATAGATTTTATCTCTAGAAAATGTAGTTCTGCTTCCGCCTTTTTGATTCGCAAAAGCGGATTACCAATAGATGCAATAGATGTTATTTATAAACGATGACTATTGTACACTCGAAATAGCCGACGAACGCAGATATAAAGCCGATGTGGCATTAAAACCAATTAAATTAACGCAGCAAAGTCCGAAAAGGACACCGCCCACGATTCCCCCTACTCAGGACGCATCGACGCTTACTCACGAAATGGTAATTCGAATTTATTATTCGTCACTCAGAAAGAATTGTTCGAAAATAACTTAAGAAGCAAAGCCGTACGCGTTTGAGCAATTCCAAAAGTTTGATACTTCCATATTTTTGTAGAGAAAAATTCAACTTGAAAATTGATCAAAGAATCTGCTATTAATTTTTTTAATAGTTAAAAAATTCGGCGGACCAAATGCTGCTTGCCATCGAAAGAGTTAAATCTATTTTTTCATTAATCAATAACATTGTAAGACAAGTCTCAAGATAAACAATTGTGGGCTTATCTCAGAAGTGCTAGGTTCTTAGCTTTCGAACTCGTAAAAATATTGATAATTAGGCGATAAAAAAATTTTACTACTACTGATCAGCTGATCAGCTGATCATAATAACGTAATAGTTACGTAATACTATTTTGCACGCACCGCGGACGCTGCATTTATTTAAAATCCGACGGATTTTTTTGCAGAAACTTTTTAATTCGTCAAAGAATTGACATAGCGACATGCGGCAAAAACAGATTTTCCGTGCTTCGTTTAGCAGATACCGATGTTTATTATTTTTGCTAATTTTCTAGGTACATAAACGGTCTTTAAAGAAACATCTTATGCGCGATTTTTTTTATTTATTTATATTTTTATCATAATTTTATTTATGTCGGAATAATGTATATATATTTTGGATATATTGATTTGAGTAATTTAATATAAAATTCGAACTGTATATTCAATCAGCTTGAATACGATAATTAGTGACAGAAATGCAAGATTAATTATACGGAATAATTTTCAGTTGTGTCCGTGCGCGTGTGGATTGCTTACAAAAGAAATCGAAAGTGAAGTCTCTATCGAGTCATTGCCTATGCTGAAGGAAAAGCTTATTAAAACGTAGAATATTACATAAACCTTATAAATTTGTTTTTCCTATTAAATCAAATGTTATAAACTCAAGTATAGAATTGATATTATAAAATACCTTTTCCAAAGTACACAGCTACAATTGTAAAACGATGCATCGTATTAATTTTTTAGCAAGCTTGAAGAATTAGGTCTTTATTTGGATTCAAAAAAGACAGCGGATAGGAAAATGCATGATATTGCACGAAAGGCGAGGAAAACTACGACGCAGGAGTTGGAAAAACATGTAAATATTGAGCACTGGAGGACGGAAATTACGCAACAGCGATTACAAACGCAAGTCGAGGAGTTGCATAGAAATATTCGCTTTTTCAAGCAGGAAAATGAATACATTCGATGCCTCGTGGAACAATGTCGCTATTCATCGGAGAAAACAAAGGTTTCGAAACAACTTCTACCAATCACATATTCTGGTGAGAAATTTTCTAGCTGCATAAACGGTCTTTAATCCAGAGACGTCCCACGTAGTCGATTTTTTTTCAATTTTTAATCGAACATGCCACTTGCGGAACATGTGATATTGTGGACAGTTATTTTTAGGACTCACGACAGCAATTAAACAGTTTCGAGCTAAATATCACATTAAACAGGGAATAATAACCACGGTGACCGAGATGCTACGAGGTTCCATAAATATCCAACAGATTGCCGGGAAACTGTTAGCGTTTGTCGAGTATTGGTATCGGGACTCAAACAGGTGCTTTAGACGCAATATCGGTAACGCACGCTACCGTTAAATCCTTTATAAAAGAGTCAATATTAATAACTTCTTTCAGTATAATAACGGCGTATGAGCCATCCGCTTCAAGAACGGAACTGTCATCAAATTCCGTGGTATTCAATGTTTATTAGACATTTGCATTCAATCATCTTCGCATAAGTCGCGAACAATATATGCCAATATAAATACAATACATAGCTCACTTTTAACGTAGCAAACAATTTAAAATTTTTTCGCACATATTACGAATATAAAATCATAATTAAAACTTCTATCTCTTCACTGCAATCGTATTAAATTACAGAAGCGAGAAATTTGTGCACATTTTTTTCCTTGCACGAGTGTACATCAAAACAAATTAATTTTTCCATCACTCGCTAATATATGCAAAGAAAACTGTTTTATTTCGTGTAGCTTGAGAAGAAATTTGGCACGATTTTCGTTTCCCGAATAATTGAATATGATTGCAGCATGGGGAGTTTTAAGAGCGCGTTATATCGATTTGTTGCTTGCGCGCGGGATGTAGAAGAGCTTCCGGCGATCAACCAGATCCTCCAAAGCATTCAGATCGGGCAGTACGGACGGGATTTCGAAGGGAAGACGCCCGATCGGCGGCGCTTGGCTGGAGCTAGAGAGACGGGCGTTCGCGTCGATCTCGTTGCGACTGCTGGGTGTGTAATACGCCTCGGTGGACGTCGGCTGTTTCGGATAGTAAGGATCGTATTCCAGTTCGTTCGGCATCAGCGGCTTCAGGGAGAGCGTCAAGGCGTGCACGGGAATCTCCGTGGTGGGAATCTCCTTGTCATCAGTCGGTTGAGCGTTAATCTGGATCGACCTCAGGGTCTCCGAATACGGATGATAGTCACTGTTGTAACTTGAGGAGGGAGATTTCTCACGCGGAGAAGGCGAACGCTGGATAACATCCGGTAACGCTGTCGTCCTCGCGGGCGAGGAATTCGAGGTCGGCGCGAACGAACGGCTGGGATACGCGCTGCTCTTGTCTCGTGCAAAAGCGCGAGTCGCCGATGACGACAAAGATTGCCTCGGCGACTGGTTTGGCTTATTGTTACGTGGATTCCAATTATTGATACGCTCGATAGGCGCTCGCGTGGTGGAAACTGCCAGGCCATTCTTCGAATTAGCGTTCCATTTCGCGGTTTGTCCAACCTGGTTTCGCGTCCGGTCCTGCTCTCTCAGAAATAGACTCGCGCGGAACACGAGGCCGGGCTTATTGGACGCGGATTTTTCAGGCTGTTGAATCACCTGAAAGAAGCGTGAGAACGATGGCCGATGATCGTCGAATGGATCAACAGACGCGATCGGGGATCTTATCGCTTTATCCTTGTCGGCGTTCTCATCTGAATATTGAGCTGACTGATAGGCGGGCGCTTGGCAGTCGACGAGATGAGCGTGATCGCATATCAAGGCATCCTGGCGAAAAGCCGTCTCCTCGGGACACCGATAACTGAATTTGTTCCCGTGATCGTCGCACGTATGGTACACTCTGCAATTCGCCTCGACGTCGGCGTAAAATCCCATAGGCCGATTGAAGCAGGAAAAGTTCGTTTTGACGGTTGGCGGCGTGGTATTCTGCGTAGGCGAACAATCATAATTGAATCGTTCGACAAAAACAACGTTTGTTCGCGATTTTTGAGAACCGAGACAATGCAATGTGTATTCTAACAAGCCTACGCACACTCTTCCTCGCTTCTGACGGTTCTCATTGATACATATAAATAATTGGATCTAACGCCTTAGCGCCTGCAATTCTCATTACTTACAAAAACTTCTTCAGTGCGGACAGTGGCGATGAATAATGCGTATCGTAGAAGATAAAATTGTAGAATCCGGTGAAACGCCATTTTTTTTTTTTTTTAACGAAAGTTTAATGTACCAAAGAATTACGCGCGTTCGAATTACGCGAAACGTAATAGGAGCACCGCTCCCATCGTCTACACGGCGATGAAACGAGTTCTTCAAGTGAAAGTAACGCGAAGATGAGTCTAGGGCCTGTCTCTCCCTCCTCTTATCCTCTACTTCCCTCTCTTTACCTTTCTTAACAACGTATCCTGTTTTTATTACCTATTGTTCCCTTCGCGATTGACCCGCGAGGCAAATCGAGAGTGGCGAAAAATAAAGTGACAAGTATCCCGCATGAAAGGATTAATAGCGAAATGTCAATGTCTATAATCCTGTACACTTATCCTATATATTTATCTTCATTTTTGTACTTTCACTTTTTACGGCTTTCAATATTGCTCACAGGTGATAAATTGTGCATATTTGTGCCTATTTATCTTTCTCTTTTAGGTACACTATTATATATAAAAATGTCTCCAACAAGCAAAATATTAGTAGAATGACAATAGTTGTGGTTTTAATTAATTGCAATAAATTCTTATCAAATGCACCTATGGATTTATATTTTATGTGCAAGACTTTCATACGTATTATAACAATAGATTGCAAAAGTTGAGTGATTTTTTTCGTTTCTTTTTCTTTAAGTTAACTTATAAAATCTATAATTCGCGACAGAATTCGAGATAGAAATCTATTTACAATTTTAATAAAGAACATGTAAAAGAATCGAAAAACATATATACAGTAATATTTCCTTTATATTACACGGCATTATAAATTATAAATGGAATTCTGTCACAAATTATAAATTGTTTGAGGTTTAAAATAGACTTTACTGCCGAAAATACAAGATTATATATAGCGATAAGCTATTGCTTATAATAAATATATAAGTATTTTAGTATACTTATTTAACATTAAATTATAAGAATTACATATATTATATTATATTATAGTAAAGTGCATGCGACTTTTTTCTTTTACTTTTTTGTCGAAAAGAGCGCGCTTGCAGCTGACGGACAGCGTACATCATCTAACGATAGCGTGCGATGTTAGATAGCTAAAACTGATGGTAATGTCACCGTTCACGTTACGATCACTTTAATGTTCCAACACGTTGCACTAGATAGCGCTTGCTGCAAACACGTTCAGTCGTAGTGTTCTTCTGAACGCAGTCTACATTATGCATGTTGTAAAATCGTTTGCACGAGTCAAACCTCTTTGGTACGTTGCGAGTCACTGATATTAAAGTCGCTGCAGTTTCGCGACCATTCGCGACACGATGTTCAGCATGCGGCGTTTTAATTGCGAGTTCTAAGGCCAATTGCCACTGCTGATTATTCATCATCATTTCCGTCTATCTTATTAATAATTCGACGATAATTTCCGCTCATTTATTTTGCCCTCTTCATAGATTTATTTACCAAATTCACAAAGTAAAAACTAACCCGACAAAATGGTGAAATACTATGAGAACACTACGATTTTTCAATTTGATTGGACTCAAGTTGTTCGAGGATTCTTTCAAAGGTATCCGAATCCACACAGGTATGTAGATACATTACATCATATTGTACCTTTAATATCTAAAATCTTACATAATGCACAAGTACTAATACTAATACTCCAATTTACAGCGCACATGTTCTCAGCGAAGATACGATCTCAAGAGAAGTTAAAAATGGAAAACTTTACTCCAAACGACTGTTGACGAAAACTAACAGAGTACCCAAATGGGGTGAAAGATTTATCAGCAAAAATATTGTTAAAATTGTGGAGGAAAGCATCGTTGATCCAGAAGCAAAAACTTTGACTACCTACACGAGAAATTTGGGATATACAAAAGTTATGGTGAGCTAATCCATATTAATCAACAAAGAAATATAAATTAATATAAGACAACAAATATTTTTGTTCCTAAAGTAAATTCTATTTTTTTATTGTTTCACAAATTTCATTCAATAATAAATGAAACTATCATATTTAAGGGATATCTCATATTTGTAAAATCATCTTTTACTTACAGATTCTTTAATCTATTTGATATTCAGTTTTTCTCAACAAAATATTAAAGCATTAATTATTTTAAAATTACAAGTGATTATAATTGTTGCTAATTATTTGCATATTAGGTATGCTTCTAACAAAAGTGTTTTTTTTTTCAGAGCATTGTGGAAAAAGTAGTTTATGAAGTTTCAGAAGAAAACCCAGAATGGACAGTAGCCAAAAGGTCGGCATGGATTGACAGTCAAGTATTTGGTTTCAGCAGGGCAATTCAAGCCTTTGGATTAGATCGATTTAAGAAAAATTGTACTAAAATGGCAGAAGGCTTCAATTATGTTCTCACAAATATGTTTCCTCACACAACTCAATTTATAAATCCGAAACTTTCTCAGATGAGTTTCTCTATGCAAGCAGGCCATAGTACAGACGATAGCGTTACAACAAAACCAAGTCTCGCGGAAGATTTGCAACATTCATTACAGGGTAAAGCAGAGAAAGTGAAAGATGCTGCCAAAAAAGGTACAGACTTAGCAAAACAAAAAGCAAGAACGATATATGCGGCTTGTCAGCCAAACCAATCATAAATTTACATATTTATATACGAAACGTAACAGTCGTGGATGTAAATATTACTCAGCGGTGGCACTCTTCACGAATAATAGCGTATAGTTATGATGTACTTGAGATAAAACCACGGTAAAGCTTTTAACTCAAAAATATAATTGTACAATTAACATAATTTGATGACAATTAGGCTAAAGAGAATTAGAAAATTGATATTTGACAACTTAAAAGTTGAAACTTAAAATTTATATGATTTACTGAATTTAATAGCATAAGATCTTCAAAATGTTGTAACTGTTATAGACGCAAAATTTCGCGTATGTTATCATTCCTTTTAACTGCCAAATCGTTGATAACGTTATCAGATGTGATACATACACACTCAAATGCGCATTAAATTATTTGTTTACTTGTTCATACGTAAAAAGATATTTTCTAGTTAACTCATCAATTCCAATGTCTTTTCGTGTGTAAAATATTAAATGGAAAAAGGCATTTTAATATGTATATTGCAATGCATTAATATGTACATGTGTACAGCGTTTATTTGTGCATGTATGCATCTCGTATGTATTCGTATAAACTTACAATTATAAAGAGCATTTCGTACGTAATTATTAATCATTGGAAGTAATGGCATTACGAACAGTTCCAAAGAAATATAAATTTTACAATAATTGCTTTTTTCTATTAATATAAATATTTTATAGACTTTTTCATGTTGGACATGAACAGTTTATTGACCAATACGAGTAATTAAAAGACTTGATTTCATTCATTATATCATGACATCTTGATATTATCATATCTTCAATAAATATTTCGCTATATTGCATTATATATGCATATTTAATTATTGTAAAAAGTCAATACCATAATTTTTAACATTTAGTTTAATGTTACCTCAATTTTATCATATAAATACAATTAAAAATTATTGCTCAAAATTTTTTTTATATCTTTAAATATATTTTGAAATATAAAATACATATTTCATGATTTTTTAATTATTACAAACAATCCAATTCATTGATTCATAATTGCGTATTGACGATTTTGGCAATCAACTTAAATGAAATATTTCTGTACATTGAATAAAATGTTTAAATTCCTTTACTTTAGTAAATTGAATTGTATATTAGAAATTTAATTTACGTTAAAAGAATCATATTAAGCTAAATATTTGTAATGTGAAACATTGTATCTAGATTACCTAGATTGTAGGTATGTACCCTTTGCAATTAATTGTTTAGTAATAAATAATATTGATGTATTGTGCTGAATATATATGTATATACATATCTTGTATGAAATGTTATAATCCAATAATACATCAAGATAATTTAGATCTAATTTGAATATGTGATCTTCCCACACAACACAGGACATTCCAGGAATATTGCAATATTAGGTCTGTTCTTTATAGCTGAACTGGCTGCACT